AGAGACTTCGGAGTGGAGCATCGTGCGGTGACATACCCACCGCACGCAGCCTGCAGGTGACAGGGTGACACACCCACCGCACACAACCTGCAGGTGACAGGGTGATACACCCACCGCACGCAGCCCGTAGGTGACTTGGTGACACACCCCCTGCACGCAGTCCGCAGGTGACGGGGTGATACACCCACCGCACACAGCCCGCAGGTGACGGGGTGACACACCCCCTGCACACAGCCCGCAGGTGACGGGGTGACACACCCCCTGCACGCAGTCCACACGGTGACAGCTCGAGGCTCGTCCGGCGGCCGCTCCAGGAAGGAGCCTCCTTGGAAGACAGTGGCGGCTCCAGCCTGGGACATGTCGAGGGAAGAGAAATGACGGCAGCCAGCAGACTTCCAGGTTCGCCTTTTCACCGTGAGCGCCCCGAATCAGAGAAGTGACCCCACGTTCCTCTCCCCCACCCCTGCTCGCCTCTGCTCTCCCACGGCAATCTGGGACGCGCACGTTGGCAAGGGACTGCTTCTCAAAACCCTTCCTGAGGAGTCTTTATTCTCTGGGAACACGGGTAGGGCAAGGGCGTGCGTGACCACCGGACACCCTCCCACTGTCTTAGTGGGAAGTGGGAAGGGGTAACCTCTCCCTTCAGTCCCCAGGGCGTGAACAGTGGGCGCTGACTATTGCCTCAGGAGCTCAGCAGTTTCTGTGAGAAATGCCTTCCGTGGACCTAACATTTGGGCAAAGTAGTCTTCCTCCCTCTGCTCCCCAGGGTTTTCACAAACGCTTCCTTCCTGTTCCCGAACAAAATGTCACCGTGCCTCTTGGGAGGGGTCCCATCCCACCCTCTAGCTGTCTAAGGTTTGGGTCCTTCTCCAACCTAGTCCAACAGTGACTTCCAATCAGGAATGAAATGTCCCCAACTCTCTGGCCTTTGCTTTAAAAATCTCATTCTTCCCCAGGTTGATGGCAGTAAGGCCAAACCTCATCACTGTCCGCGCTGGTGACATTGGGCCGGTTCCACCACGAGAGGTGTAAGTATGTACAAGTCTCAGATCTTTACTGACAGGCATAGAAATGACTCAGATACATACAGACATGAGGAAGGGGGAATCCTTCGAATGGCATCATTTATTTCAGGTTCAGAAACACAGCTTCACATTGTCACAGTAGGTACATGTGACCTTCAAGAAAGACACAGGCTTTAGGAGCGGACTCCAAAGATCCCATCGACAGAGTCCATCCGTGCGTCCGCACTGAGAAACCCCCGAGTGCCGCGAGCAGAAACGCATTCTGGCTCCAGTTAATCAAAGACTCAGCAACGAGGACAAGGCTTTGCTTCGGCCCTCTGCTTCTCCATAAAAAGGCGACAGAGGAATTTGAGTTTTAAAAAAGGGAGTGAACAGACACGGAGACAAGCAAGCTGTACCCATGAAATCAGACACCGATCAGGCCGGTGTTTCTGGTTGAATACTTTTTATCCAATTGGCAGCAGACAATGCAAGAGGCTAGACAGAGTCATTTTTATCCTAATTTTGAAAATATTACACAAGGAGCAAAGCTGGAGAAACACAAGGGTAAAAATGAAAGAAAAGAATGCGTTGACCTGGGCCCTGCGCGAAGCTCAGACTAGAGGTGAGAAGTCTCACCAACACACCAGCATCAACAGGTCTTAAGACAAACAAGAACCTGTCCTGAGCTTCTCTCTCGTTCTCACACTCACATATGGACCAAGAGCAAAGCTTAGACTACGTATGCTTCAAAATAGTCTTAGAGCTCACGAGACAGAGCACCACATCATGTTAAACACACCAACAAGACAGGATGATTTCAGATGATCTCGAAGACATGTGTGAGCTTTTAAGAAAAGACTGAGTGATCGAGTGAACTAACAACCGTTTCTCTGCAACTGTCTCCCTTCCCTCGCATTGGGCTCTGAGCGGGCGGCTAGCGGTCTTCTTGGTGAAATGATACAAAACTCATGGCTTGAGTCCTACACATTATCATCTCTCACTGAGTTCCATGAATACAGACCAGCTGTGCAGGCTTTAGTCTCAGTGTTAGGGAGATGCCTGCCGATGTCAAAGAATTACATTGTTTTCCAAATTAAAAATTTGGAAAGAGGGGATGGATGACCCACCTCCAAGGCATTAAGAAACTTCTCTGCGGTTTTAGCCAATTCACGCTCAGTGCTGCTGCTCTTTCTGTATTGCTGTATCTCTCCGCGTTATTTTCTAACCTTTTCTGGACAGAAAAGATGGCTATGTAGACCAATTTAGTGTTTTGAGATTCAACTCTGCTGAGCAATCCAAGGAGAGTTAGAGATCTTAAAGGAAACCTTCCAGATCTTACACTTCTGATTGAGCTACATCGGGAAAAGTTGTTTCTTCTTAGACAGTGTGCTGTGGACTTCGATACAAATGCCTGTGGATATTATTCTACCATGTCGTCATGCTAACTCTTAGCTTGGTGCCTCTCAGAGTGAATACAGTCTGGAGAAAATTTTGTATACCTCACACACTCTATGAGAAATGGACCACTGTTATCACGTATTATAGCAGATGCTCTGAGGCTACCTCTTGCATGAGCACAGTCTACAAAAATAGGTTCATACCCACACATACAAAGCACGCATAGACATAAATATTTACACCCATACATATACACATATATACAGTGCACATACAATCACACTCATGCTTGTGGCGTTTTAACAAGTGCTTTTAAACCTACCTACCCAGAGGGGCACAAAATACAGGTACTTACAGAAACAAGTTTACTGTGTATACACTGTTACACGTGAAGAAAAGGTGTTTGTACACAGAAAACATCAACATATATATCACATACTGGTATTAGGTCCCATTTCATATTTGAGAGTTATAGCTAATGCCATACTAAAAAGTCATAAAATTAATCTATAGGACTACTTTTTAATCCTAAGCTTTTAATTCTAAGTCAGAAACTAGTTTCATTATAACATTTTGGAATAGATGAGTCTGTATCTGAACACGTAGGCAATTTGCTAATAAACAGACCCCACAGCGCTTCTATGTTACAAAACACAGCTAAAAGCAATATTCAGGAGAGTCACTGTGGTAGATGATTTCCGGAAATGCAAGACAGCTGTTCTCAATGAATACTATGGCACTAATCTGTCCACAGGTGAGTCCGTGGTGATTCCAAATTAGTCAATAAGCATGCAAGATTGAGCATGTGACAATAAAATAGACTGCCCTATCGAACAGACAGGTTATTTTTCTGAATCCTGAAACGCTGTGTGTTTTCTTTTGTTACACTAGACATGCCGGAGCTCCGGCTGCTGCACAGACCACGGCAGCGTCAGGAGGAGGTTACGGGAGACCCAGCGTGGAAGTGGATGGGGGACACTCGGGGAGCTCACTGCGCTGCATTCCCTCCTGCAGGCCGGATACGAACCTGTACTTCAGACTGTGCGCGTCCTGACACCCCTTCCCTCACCCTGACATCTCCCTTTAGCACGGCGCAAGCCCTCTGGGAAATGGGATCAGTGCTAAGCGCCTGACAACGTATTGCAGCAAAATGAAAATATTCTCCAACGTGGCCGCTGAACTCCCAGGGGAGTCTGGGTCCCATCGGACACCACGCAGAACTAGAAGAACTAGGAGAAAAATGGACCCCCGAGGAGAGCCAGCTGGGACAGAGAAACTGTGGGATTATACTCTGGAAGCAAGAGCCGGAGAGAGACAAACGCCACTACTGACGACCGTACGGTCAGGGGGAAGGAACTTGGACGAAGAATCTCCCACGTTCTCTGACACGGTTTGTGCTGAGCGAAGAACACGCCACAACATTTTCCTCTAACACAAGGACATCTCTGCACGAAGCCGAACCCTGGAGTATCTGCTCCATGAGCGGCCTCGTTGAGAGAATTCAAAGGAAGAAGCAATGGGAATCCTTAGAGAGAGGATTTGATAAAAAGAGCTCACGGTAGATGCTTTCTCTCACTAGGCATGTTTACTTAACATATTTCCACTGAGCGGTGACACTATGGTGAAAATATCGTATGTTTCTCGCACACCTGTTCACAAAGAATCCATGTTTTTTTCCATAGGAAAAAGAAAAGAAAGGAGAAGATTTGGCATGGTGCTCTTGATACAATCACCTGTGACTTAGAAGTTGAAATGCCCTTCTTAGGAATCTCGAGCCCCATGACTTTTGCCTAAGTGGGCTCGCTGTAACCCTTTGGTTGAGTTCCAATGTCATTCAGGTTGGTGAGTGTTCTCCTTTTAATAATGGTTGAAAGTTTTTACTTCGTGCTTTATGGGTGTCTGCTTTGGGTATAAACTGCACAGGAAATTAAAGTTAAGTTAACATACAAATCATGTTTGCTGCTTTCAAAGGGAGACATTTCAGATGGTGGGAGTTGATTTACTTCTGCAGAATATGAAATCGTGTCGCGGGACGCCTCTGTTCAGTGCATACTGGGGCTGCCGTCTGGGGACACTTAGCAGACACGATTCCAGTGGGCTTCCGGCTGTTTCCTACGTGTCCCTCATCGGGTCCTGGGTCGTCGAGAACTCAGCCTGGAGACGGAACTAGGCGCTCCCTGGCCAAAGGGCTCTCGTAAATTTCAGACACATTAGTATTTGCCAGTTTGCTTTCGATCTCAGTGTCTGAATGCCGTTTTCTGGAATGACCTGGATAAAGACTCTGAAGTCGCACAACTATAGAAGTTGTCTAAACGGCCCTGGCCGGTTCGGCTCGGTGGTTGGAGTGACAGCCCGAGAGAGGGTCTCGGGTTCGATTCCGGTCAAGGGCATGTACCTTGTTTGCAGTTGAATCCCAGGCCCTGGTCGGGGTCATGTGGGAAGCAACCAATCCATGTCTCTCTCTCATATCAACGTCTTTCTCTCTCTCTCCCCCTCCTTTCTCTCCCCACCTCCCACTCTATCGGAAAATCAGTGGAAAAATATCCTCAGGAGGATAAAAAAATTGTCTAAATGGCTTTTCTTTGCAGCCCAGGTCCCACTCTTTAAATCGGGTTATCCCACAGAAAGGCTCGTGACTGTGAAGAGAGCCTAGAAGGGATAGAAAGTTACTTTAAGCCTGTTTTAGAGGTAGGGCAATTTTTTACATAAGAGAATTATGCTTCTAGCAGAGAAAAAGAGGAATATTTTTGCTCCAGCCAACGAAATAAACAAATAAACTGGAGTTAGTGTCAAAGTGTAGTCAGCCATGCCTAAAATTAGATGAATCTGAGAAAAATAAATATTTTCCATCTCAGCCTTCCCTGTAACCTAGGAAGGGGGTGATTATATAAATAAAGAAATAACGTTTTCCAGCAACTTCTAGAGATGTGATATTTTGCTTCTTCCTGAATTCTGAAATTAACTAGTCAAATCTATTGACTGGTTCCAGAGAAATCAGCTCTGACTGGCGACTGAATGTGCTTCTAGCATGAAACCCAACACCAGGGCGGAGGAAAACCCTCCGCAGCAAGCGAGGTGTCCCCTTTCCTCTGCAAACTACCTTGCCCTTCTGGGAAAGCTTTATTCTTAAGGAATCCTAATAAAATAAAATAAAAAATCACCTCCTGGCAGTCTTATGAAATAAAGAGGAAGGAATGGATCTGAACAGGTAATTCCGGAGTCGACAGAAACATTGATAATAAAGAAAACCATTTCTGTCCTCCCAAACAGAGTGTGGGAAAGTAAGTATGTATGGCTTAGGTCGAAGCCCAGCATCTGAGCTCTCTCTTAAGAATGATATTTTATGGGCTCTCGGAAAGGTAACCTGGGAAACTCGTCCAAAGCAATTTCAGATATATGCCAGGGTAGGCAAACGGCCCCCAAGGTATAGGGCTGCCATCCAAACCTACCTGGGTTGACACAACACAGAAAGGAAGCCTTGAAGCGACAGCAGTTTCCAAGGGTCAAATCCCCAGAGCTGGACATACCATGAGCAATGCAGCCGAGTGAGGGATGCGTTAGTAAGACTGGTGACTTGCCTACCGATGTCCACACATGCGACTACTCATGATTTACCGCAATGGTTATCAAATATGTTGCTGTCTCATAATTCCTTAGTAATTAGCTGCCATGCTAGACACTTCCTTTAGTCTAACAGGGAGGATTCTAGTGGCCGGATTATAGTGGGACGCGTTGGTGATGGGGGTGGTCTCCGGCTAGAAAGAGAGAGAGAGAGAGGTAAAGAAACAGGTAGAATAGCGGGCACAGCTTGTCCCCAAGCCACGGGACAGGAGCCATCGCCACAAGCTCATGCACAGACAGGCCAGCAGCAGTGGATCACTAACACTGTTTGCTGTCATCCACCCAGCATTTCCTTAAAAACAAAAATGAGGGTGTCTTTCATATGCAGATCTTTCTGAAAACGGAAGTCGTCCCTCCCAATACTATTACCAATATTCAGTCATGGAAAAGCCATCTGAAATATACTGCCCGTTTCTCAGCCCATAGCGTATGATCAGAGACTGAACTGGACTCTGGGGCTGATGACCGGCCTCAGGGCATGATGGGTGTTTTGAATGTTTAGTTCCCTTTATCTTCCTCTTTTTCTCCCTGTCGGGATGTTAGTGATCACTTCTCATTGACTTGAGCAACAGCTTTTTCCAAGTTGTGCTGGATCTACGTCTAATGTACAGGGTACTAGGAAAATCAGGATGGAGATGTTTGGCGCTCTCTACAGTAAGTGTAAGTAGTCTCGGGGTGAGTCCCTGAGTGCCCGAGCACCCAAGTACCTGAGAAAATGGCATGACCTCTCCTTCCCATTTTGGGTCCTAGAAGTTTTATCAGTAGTAGTCATTTTGCTCGCTGTCTGGTTGGTTTTCGATAGCTGAGGTTGCTGAATAAATAAACTCAGGATAATGTAATATGATTGTATCTGACAACCTCAACTTGAGTAGTACCCTTCATTTCCTGAAACCCCACATCTATGTCCTAAATGTATCAATAAATCTCTGTGTGTGTACTTGACTTTGTATGTAGTATCTTGAGAGGTGATTTTTATAACCAAGTTCAACAGATTCTACAAATTAAAACCTTTGTTCTTGATAAAACTCTCATTGATCCCCCCCTTCCCCAGAAAGACCCCTTCTGGAATAACATAGAATTCCCTTCTGTATTGGAAACACTAAATTGATCAAATCAAATGTCCCTTCTCAGGTATGAAGAAGGGAGGTTAGAAAAGTTAAAGAAAAACAATCATGAAATGTTAAAAAAAAAAATTATAAAGCTATAAAATAAAATTAGATGCTCGAGGAAAAATGACAGCAAATTGTTGACGAACAGTAACAATATTGACCACGGGCATGAACTCCTAGGTACTAGGAGAGTTCCTTTCGCCTCCTGCGCCTAAGAAATGTCTACGTGGCTTTAGAAGAAAGGCTTCCTTTGGAGGAAACATCTTATGCTAGTCTTATTATTAAGCAAGTACTCAATGTTGGAGAGTGTGACTGGAGATATTTTATAGGCATGGGAACAGCACTAACCCAATCCCTGCTGTCTAACTGGAGTAAACAAGTAAATCCTTTCTGCAGAAAGGCGACTGTGACCACCTGGAATGCTTTGGCCATTCCCTGCTGGGCAAAATCCTCCCATAATCCCTTTTTGCTGATGGCCATGCAGAACACATCAGCTCTTCCACTAGTGTGGTCATTTCCATTTAATGTGGCCGTATTTGTTTAACTTGGGTCCTGAGTCTTGAACTGTATCATTTTCCCCTTCGATGGGAAGGTTCCCGAGGCCAGAGGTCATGACACTTGACTTGCTCCGGACAGCGCTTAGCATGGTGTTACATTTCCACCTCCTCGTGGTCATGGACTGGAATGCATATTCATTCTTTAAGACCCTTCTGGGGGCGAGTCTTCTCTGATCTCCCTTCCCCTATCTTGATACATTGTTTCTACAGCATGTGGACATGACTCAGTATCACATGGAATCCTAATTAGGCTTATGCTTCTCTCCCCGACTAGAAACAGGCTGGTCTTACTCATCCTCGTCTTCCTGCTTATCGTTCAGCCACAGAATGTTGGACGGCTGGACAAGGGAAAGTTACTCCTCCGGTAAGAAACAGCTTCTAAGTGCTCATGACATCCATCATCTTTCTGTGACACAAAGGTATTTGTTAGTCAGTGGCTGCTGTGGCGAGACACACAACACAAAACCACAGTGACTTGTAGGATTTAGACCCTCGGAAACTCTACCTATAAAGTTTTTGCTCAATTCTTCAGTAGATGTTGGAAATAAATACTCGATAAATAGGCTGCCTGTCCTCACAGTTTAATACATAATCCCGTCACCTACAGGAATGTGTTCTTAGCAATTAAGCTGTTATAGGGGAGGGGCAAGGGAGGTGGCCAGTATTTGAACTTAAAGAAGGAAACTCTGCTGCAATAATGGGTCAGACTCCATGAGGGTATTTGAAATAAGTGGATGTTAGACTATAAATTCAGTGACAAGTAGGCTGCGGCGTGGCAGGGTGGATGGGAAGTTTTTCCTGCACATGGGATGTCTTGGACCTAGGACTGCAGCCAAACAGAGAAAGGAATGCAAACCGGGTTCTTTTCTGAGCCGTTTGTTCTTGGCTCCGATGTCTTTCCTCGGCCCCCCTGACCACCACCCCAATCACTTCATGATGTCTGTGTGTTTCATAGCGCTCGACCCTGTTTTTAATTATGTCTTCGTTTTCTAGATTGTTGCCTGTGTTCCCCCCAGTAGATTCCTTGAGAGCAGCGACCACACTGTCAGTACTTATCACATGTCTTCAGCATTTAGTGTAATGTGATTAGAAGGCAGGGAATTCATAGTTATTCAGTAATGGACAAACACATGTGTGAAAAGCGCCTACACAAAGATGTTCAGCCAGGTCAGAGGACAGGCCGGGTCAGGATGCGGAGGGTCAACGAGGCCAGGGATGCAGCACTTGGAGGCATTTGTCAGAGGCTTATACTTGAAACGTCGAGTTTATACAGAAAGAATCTGAATCAGAAATCAAAAGACATGGATTCCAGCTCCAACTGCCAGTTTGTACAAGTATTAACCCACTACGCTTGCCTAAGCCTTGATTTTCTCACATATGACATGAGAGACAGGTGAGGGAACCTACTGCATGCCTCCCAGCCATGCATGCCTGCATTACTTACTGAGCACCTACTATGTGCACCGCATTATGCTGCACGATTTTAATAACTCAGACTCTGCTCCCAGCCATGCATTGCCTGCGTCATTTACTGAGCACCTACTATGTGCGCCGCATTATGCTGCACGGTCTTTAATAACTCAGACTCTGCTCCCTGTGGAAGACACGTGAGAGAGAACAGATACGCATGGAGGCTCACTATAGCACCCCATGTTACAGGGGAAAAAATAGGGCACATTTTTGTAATTCAGACTCGGAGGATATGTTCTGGGAGCTTGAAAATACAAAGATGTGACCTAAGCAGGCGCAGATGGGAGTTTAACGGCACGTATAAGAATTCACGTAAGAGAATGCAGGTCTGCAACAAGGTCAAAGAAACCAGAAATTGCCATCCGGTGTGGCTCAGTGGTTGAGCGTCGACCCATGCACTAAGAGGTCACTGGTTTGATTCTCGGTCAGGGCACATGCCCAGGTTAAGGACCAGATCCCCAGTGAGGGGCAGGCAGGAGGTGGCCAATTGATGTTCTCTCTCATCGATGTTTCTACCTCTCTCTCCCTAAAAATCAATTAAAACAAACAAACAAACAAAAAAACCTAGAAATTAAGTGATGAGGATTGAAGGGAAGAAGTCAACACTGGGAATAGAAGGTAGAAAGATTGCAGTACTCTGATGGCCCAGTAACGTCTCATTCCTCTCCTCTGCAGTCCTTGCGCCGTGCCGACGGGACAAGAGAGGACAGCAGTTGGCAGGCGACTGCAGAAGGAGCCCAGGCAGGAGGCCGGGAGAGCAGCCTCTGCCACGGGCCAGAGCTCGTGTGTGTCTTGTTCACCACCATATCCCAGAACTCAGCATGGTCTTTGGCTCATACTATATATATATATATATTTTCAAATAAACAAATCATCAGAGAACCTATCGATCGGGAACTTTTCAAGGGAGTCCCTCGGGCCTTACATCGAACAGGCAAACATACTGGGGTGGCGATCTCATGACTGAAAGATGAAAGAGAAAATTCCCATCATGTCCTCTCAAAATAATGATGACCTCTTGAAAATATGCACAGTTTCAGGTGAAAGTAACCCATAGACGAACTTAGTAACTTAAACAATCCCACAGAGTCCCTGACCCTTCTAGAAGGAGCGAACACGGTTTTATTTCTGAAACAATAAACCCCCCACCATCCGTGTAGAAAGCTTCCACGAGGAAGCACATCGGGAGGAGCGTGAAGTTGTTCAGCGTGAGTTCCCTTCAGTAATGCTAAGACGTTTGCCAACTTCAACACCAGAGGCACGTCCAAGGTTCACTGTCAAGGTTCACTGCCTTGGTCCAGTTCCTAACGTGCAAAGGGTTTCCAGGGACAGTCACCTCCTGAGACAGTTTGTTTTGGGCAAAGCGAGGTGGTTTGTTTTGTGCCGGGTTTTCTTCGGCGGGCTCTGTTAAGGGGACCCTCCCACCCGAACGCAGCGGCTCCACGGAGTGGGTGTTTATTGAAACACTGTGTTGTGCGTGGGCGGTTCGTGGTTACCATAGACGAGCCATGTTTCTGCTTCCAAGTCGGGGGGGGGGGAGAGGGAATATTTGAGGTTGCCTTGTAGCTGCAGGGATGGATCGCTTACAGGGTTTTGGACGATGACACATTTTGTGAGGCAGTCACAAGGCTGGGTGGCATTGACAGGGAGACCGGCTTCACGGGTAAGCGAGGAGAGTGTATGATCGGCCTCACTGTCTCTTTCGATTCGCTCCTAGTGTGGAAGAACTGCCCTGGTCGGAATGGTCAGTGGTTAGAGCGTTGGCCTGCACACCAAAGGATTGCTGGTTCGATTCCCGGTCAAGGGCATGGACCTGGGTTGCAGGTTTCATCCCCAGCCCTGGTCAAGGCAGGTGAGGGAGGCAACCAATGGATGTGTCTCTCTCACATTGAAGTTCCTCGCTCTCTTTCTCCTTCCTTCCCTCCCTTCTACTCTCTCTAAAGATCAATGGGAAAAAAACAAATCTATCCTCATGTGAGGATTAAAAAGAAAGAATGG